GGCGGGGGAGTCTGTTTAAATTCTTGGTTATTTCCCTCCCGGCTCCCCCCACCCATGGAAAAGGGTATCAATCCCCCTCTTTTCTTGTTTCCTTGGGGGTGGTTGTGGTTGGGGGTAAGTTCGTTTTTCCTCATTGTGGGTGGGGGTAAATACGTTTTANCCCTCCCGGCTCCCCCCACCCATGGAAAAGGGTATCAACCCCCCTCTTTTCTTGTTTCCTTGGGAGTGGTTGTGGGTGGGGGTAAGTTCGTTTTTCCTCATTGTGGGTGGGGGTAAATACGTTTTACATCATTTAGGTTTTGTTTGGTTACACTTTCACGTTCTTGTGTTTCAATTTATCTAGACACAACACACAATTTACATCCTTAACGATAAAATTGCTCATCTCACATTTTTGAACCAATATGCTATAGGGAAAACCCTAATTTGTAATTCCAATTTATGGTAAAAACATTAGAGGTGTGTATGTCGAGGTTTTTAGTTCGACTTCCACAACATAGTTTTGGTTTAAGCAACGTAGGGAAAGCCTAGCACCTCCACCGCCCATTATCATCTGAACCATCGAGCCATCATCTCCATTTTGCCACGCACAAGCCGATACAAATACAGTGTCATGATATTACACATCCCAACAAAAATCTGACATAGAAACTCGTAATCCAAACCAACAAAGGCAATGAATTCAGCCATACCCGGCTAATTCGAAAAAAACTATATTTTGATTTGAGGATCTGGAAGAGCAAATCATAAGTGATTGGTTCGTTTTCCCCTTGGGTAATATATATTTTTAGTCCTTAGAGTATATATGTAGAGTCTATTTGGTTTTTAATCTTTCAATTGCGTTATTTGGTCTTTAAAGTTTATAATTTGTATGAGGTCTAATCTCAAATGTATTTTTTTGGTCTAATTTCAAATGTTTATTAAAAAATCGTTAACGCCATTGGTCACACGTTANACCCGGCTAATTCGAAAAAAACTATATTTTGATTTGAGGATCTGGAAGAGCAAATCTTAAGTGATTGGTTCGTTTTCCCCTTGGGTAAAATATATTTTTAGTCCTTAGAGTATATAAGTAGAGTCTATTTGGTTTTTAATCTTTCAATTGCGTTATTTGGTTTTTAAAGTTTATAATTTGTATGAGGTCTAATCTCAAATGTATTTTTGTGGTCTAATTTCAAATGTTTATTAAAAAATCGTTAACGCCACTGGTCACACGTCAATTATGTGGACCGAAAATAGACACAAATGAGGAACTTTAGGGATTAAATAGACACAAAATTAAAAATCACGTGATTGACTTGTGATCAAAATCATCATAATTTTTTGATGAATATTTGAGATTAGATTACGTAGATACAAATTATGAATTTTAGGGATTAAATAGACACAATTGAAAGATTGAGAATTAAATAGATACTAAACGCATACTTTAAGAATTNTTTTGATGAATATTTGAGATTAGATTACGTAGATACAAATTATGAATTTTAGGGATCAAATTGACACAATTGAAAGATTGAGAATTAAATAGATACTAAACGCATACTTTAAGAATTAAAAATGTATTTTACCCTTTTCCTCTTTGAGAATGGGCTGCTTAAAAATGACTAAATGGGTTTCTTCTGAAATGATATGAATTAGACGATTTTTACACAAAACAGAAATATTGCACTAAAAACTATTATCTCAACCTAATTCAACAAATTTCCAGTAAAGTGGGGTGCTTGATGGGTTTAATTATATTATCAGAAGAAAAAGAATAGAGATGGGAAATAAAAGGAGAAAGAGTGAGAGGACTGTAGGAGAGAGAGAAAGGAGTGGCCATGGGTCGGATGGCCCGTCCTGGAAAAGGGGTTCACTGGGTAAGGTCTGGTCTAAAAATTGGCCCAACATTGTTCCAGTTCAAGCTAGGGCAATTTGGTTCATTGTTTTTAATTTGCTGTCGTAGTTCACTGACAGCAGCGGTGGTGATAGTGTCGAGTGGTGGTTGTAGATATCTATGGAAGAAGAGAAAGACAATGGCTCTCGTTCGGCTTTGGTTGGACAAAGTGCAAGGAGTAATATATATATATAAATTAGTTTGAATTATATGATAAAAAAGTTCAACTGAGTTAGGCTTCGTGCCTTAAAAAATACATGCTTAGACTTATTTACAAATTAGGTACAAAATTTATAATTTTGAGCAATTCTCACTCAATTTAAATGATATTTAAAAATTGGACCAATTAAATGTAAATTGAATATATCTAGGATCAAATTGGTAAAAATAAATTGGGAAATATTATCTAACTCAAATTTGTAATCCAAATTTGAATCTCAAATAAAGGGGATTATTGGATGAGTGAGTTCTATCAACTTTTTTAAATGGGACCTACTGATTTTGGTTGTAAATTTGGATTACATAACATTGCTCAATAAAATTTTGAAGAAACCAAAATGACAAAAATACCTATTTTAAGGGACCAACACTGCTTTGTTTCCTAACACACCTCTCTGGTATATATGAGCAATGCTTTNCATTGCTCAATAAAATTTTGAAGAAACCAAAATGACAAAAATACCTATTTTAAGGGACCAACACTGCTTTGTTTCCTAACACACCTCTCTGGTATATATGAGCAATGCTTTTTTTTTTTTTTTTGGGGGGGGGTTAAAAATATAAATGAGTAATGCTATTGATGTCTAATTTATTGATATAATTTATTGGTTTAATTTACTATGACCTTTGAATTGAGTGTAGATTCTATCAAATATTGAAACTTTGTGCGGTTCTAATAGTTCTACTGATTTTGACCAAAAAAAAATAAAAAATAGTTTCAACGAAGCCGCATGCACTTTTTCCTCTCCCAATCTCGGCTCGCTGGCACCACCAACATCCTAATCTCTACTTATGGCACGAAGTTGAAGTGCGAATATTTATTTTTAACAGGCCTTGAGGGTGATGACAAGAACACTCTACTCTTAACTGTGCCCAATGAATCAAACGAGCGACTTGGCCTCTCTGAAAACATCAATGGTTTGGTCTGTCGGTACTCGAGTGGTTCCTATGCTAATAGCACATGCACATATAATTGTAACCATAACTCTCGCAAATTTGTGAAACTTCCCATGATTCCTAGAATCACAAGTTTGTGAAAATTTGGAATTTTGTTTCCTAATATACTTGTAACATGCTTCTGTATCCATCCATAAAAGGTAATCCTAATGTTCCGTTTGGTAAGAAAGATGAAAAGTAGGAAAGATACACTTTATATCCTTCAAGGATAAAAAGTTTGAATGATACACTTTCCTTCTTTTATGTTTGGTTAGATGAATGGAAAAAANCTAGAATCACAAGTTTGTGAAAATTTGGAATTTTGTTTCCTAATATACTTGTAACACGCTTCTGTATCCATCCATAAAAGGTAATCCTAATGTTCCGTTTGGTAATAAGGATGAAAAGTAGGAAAAATACACTTTATATCCTTCAAGGATAGAAAATTTGAATGATACACTTTCCTTCCTTTATGTTTGATTAGATGAATGGAAAAAAAAAATGATCAATTTTGTTTTTGTCTAATATTAGGGGTGATAATCCAGTCGTGTCGTGTCAGTTCGTGTTAAGTCATAAAATTATGAGTCTTTGATATTTCTTGTTCGCGTGTCAAGTCATTTTTCAAATTAGTGTCGAGTTATAATTANCAATTTTGTTTTTGTCTAATATTAGGGGTGATAATCCAGTCGTGTCGTGTCAGTTCGTGTTAAGTCATAAAATTATGAGTCTTTTATATTTTTTGTTCGCGTGTCAAGTCATTTTTCAAATTAGTGTCGAGTTATAATCAAGTTCGTGTCATAAAATTTGTGTTGAGTTCGAGTCGTATTATTGTATTTTTATATGAAATTAATGTATACATAATATATAGACAAATAAGATAAATCTCAAGTTTTCAACACAAATAATTAACTTTCAATCCATTTTCCTTATGATTTTAGAGGAATTGATTTTGGTGAGTTGGAAGAAAAGTTAATCAATTCATTTTTTTATCATTCCTTACCAAACATGATGTTTTATTTATCCTTCTAACTTTCCATCCTTCCATTTTTCATCGTACCAAACGGAGGATAAATACAGCTGGAAAGAAAAATTAGGTAACCCCAACTCAAGCCGCCTCTCTCTCCATACTATTTGTCAATATATACAGCAAATTTTTCTGTGAGAATAAGAAGAAGAGAAAATCATGGATGATCTCTTCATGAGAGCCCTTAAGAAAAAGCGTAGACTTAACACTANATATATACAGCAAATTTTTCTGTGAGAATAAGAAGAAGAGAAAATCATGGATGATCTCTTCATGAGAGCCCTTAAGAAAAAGCGTAGACTTAACACTAACCATGGTCATGGTTTATGGATCCAGCTCCCGGAAGATCATCCATGATCATGGTTTATGGAGCATCTGAGGTTTGCGTTACAGCCATAAGTCCAAAAGGTGCGTATGGTTTGAAAGATTCTTCATCAACCCCAAAAAAAATTGCATACCGGCAATGCTCCATTTTTTTTAAAAAGAGATTGAACATATTAAGGCTATAACTAATTTTACTATTTATACCACAAAGTACTACTGTCTAGTCTCACAATTATGGGAGGTTGGTGACAGATCAACGACGCCTTTAAGAGCCTGAGTGAAATGCCAAACTAATAACTCTCAACAATCTATTTGCATCAAGAGGTGAAGAGCAGAGTACACAGATCATTCATTTTGACCACACTTCCTCGATATTCCATTGCAGTGATAGGGAGGAGCTTGGAAACACTATGTGGCTAAAAAAAGAGGAAACTGGATAGGAGAGTTAATCGAGACGAGCTTTGTGAGCTTGAGTACGAGTATTTAGATTATTTTACGTATAAACGAACCGAACTTTTTAAGCTCACTTTTTTAAACGAATTTGAAAAATTGTTCAAGTTTAGCAAATTAGAACATGAGTTGAGTTCGAGCTGAGTTTTATCGAATCGGACCTAAGTAACTCGTATCGATTAACATCCCTTATAGCAAAAGGCAAAATCTTAAAAAAATGAACTTTTCCGTGCATAAATATTTTTCTTTGAGATGGGGAACCTTAAACTTTAGGCCTTAGGTCGACTTGGAATACAATGGTAACGATCAATAAGAACGATGCAAAAGTTTTAGCACAATCTGGATTCCCAAACTAATTTTGCATCTATTAACTGACCCTTTAACCATACACTCATTCATGATTTTTGCAAGTTTTTAGGGCAGCAACGCAGAATTCTTCGGGTACTCTAAGGATATGTTTAAATCCGACTTGCATCTTACAAACATTACCAAAATGAATGCAGTAAAAGTTAAAACAGCACTCATCAGGGTCTAGTCGTGTGTTTGATTAATGAAACAGACCGACGGACCAACTATCAGAATCACCATTAACATATGGAATAGCCATTTTTTATTGCCCTTTAAATTTAAATTTTTGTAAGAATATGCTAAAGATGCAATAGTCATTTTCTATCACCTTTTAAATTTAGGTTTTTCCATTAAAGTACTTTGTATCAACAAGTTTTTTATTCAAATATTGACTCGAATTTGGGTCTAATGCTGGAAATGACCTTATCATGTCACATGATGCATTTGGGAAAAAAAGAACGAGAAAAGACTACTTTAGAGAATTTGTAAGGGCAATTTAATGTCTGCTTGGTATTAACTCGACTTTAATTTAAATTTTTTTCCACTATTGCCCTCATAAGACCTTTCACGTGACTATCATATGGGTACGTTATTAGTTTAAACAACAGTTAAAAATTGGACCAATTAAATGTATATTAAATTTATCAAGGGTTAGAAACGATGAGCCTATGGTTTAAACTGGATATTCTACAGTGAGAGATCTTCATGGTTACGCCCAAGGGCCCCCCTCCCCTCCTATCTAATAAAAAAAAGAATATATCAGGGATCAAATTGGTAAAAATAAAATTTTAAAGAAACAAACTGAAAAAAATACATATTTAAGGACCAAAATTATATTTAGGCCAACAATTCTTTGTTTCCTAATACACCTCTAAGTCTAACACACACGCCTCTCTATACCTCCCAAAAGCAAAGGTAACCCTTGTAATAAAGGAGTAAATCGCCCATCTTCTCTCTCCTATCTTGTTTCTCACGTAGAAGAAAAAGTTATAAATTATTAGTTCAACAAATTAGGTCAAATGTAATACAAATTAATTATAGTAATCTAATTATTATTTAAAGTAAATTATGATAAGATTTGACTATGGTTATGAAAAAAATAATATGGTCCACTGTCAATCCAATGATAATGAATGATTAGATTAACAAATTAGGTCGATAAATTATATTCAAATAACATCATTAGACTAACAATAAATTTCATTTAATTATACTATAGATTTGATTACGGTACCGCAAAAAAAAATTTCGATACCATATCTCCAAAATTTTTTGCTTCAAAGGGTATTTTTACAACTTTCGTAGGTCATTTTACAACAAAAAAATTTAACATTTTTATGATTTTTTTTACCACTATTGTGCATATTTTTAGTGATAACTATTTTTACCACTTTTTTCCTTTATAAAAAAAACTCTCAATAGCGACAAAAGTAACTACAAATATAATAAATTGCGGTATGGCACCAAAATTTTATTTTTTTGGTACCAAATTCAAGTCCTAATATTGTTATCCAAGATCAATTTAATAATATGACAATGCTTTAGGTCCTCCAATTAAGAGTCAATTATATGCTCTCNTTTTTTGGTACCAAATTCAAGTCCTAATATTGTTATCCAAGATCAATTTAATAATATGACAATGCTTTAGGTCCTCCAATTAAGAGTCAATTATATGCTCTCTTTGTCCACTGTCTTGTTGGAATTTTGTTTCCTAATATACTTATAACACACTTCTGTATCCGTCCATAAAGGTAATCCCAAGTGCAGCAGGAAAGAAAAATTAGGTAACCCCAATTCAAACCGCCTCTTTTCTCTCCACACTATATAACTATGTATACAGCAAATTGTTCTCTGAGAATAAGAAGAATAGAAAATCATGGATGTTCTCTTCACGAGAGCACTTAAGAAAAAAGCGTAGACTTAACACTAACCATGATCATGGTTTATGGATCCAGCTCCCGGAAGATGTCATCTTCTACGATATACTTTCAAGGCTTCCGGTGAAATCTCTCTTCCGATTCCAATGTGTTTCTAAACGCTGGTGCTGCCTTTTGACTCGTAACAACCCTTCTTTCATCGACCTCCATCTATCGCGCTCCCAATCTCGGCTCACTAGCACAACCACCAACCTCCTCATGTCTGTTTATAACAAGAAGTTGAAGAGCCAATGTTTAGTTTTAGCATGCCCAGAGGGTNGCTCCCAATCTCGGCTCACTAGCACAACCACCAACCTCCTCATGTCTGTTTATAACAAGAAGTTGAAGAGCCAATGTTTAGTTTTAGCATGCCCAGAGGGTGGTAGGTGGAGTAATATTCAACTCTTATCGATGCAGACCGTAAAATATGAGCGTTTCTACCTCTCTCAGAACATTAATGGTTTGGTTTGTTGGCTCAAAAATAGTTTCGATGATAATAATAAATATGCATATATTTGTAATCCTAGTACTCGTGAACTCACGAAACTTCCCCTAATTCATCGAACTACACGTAGTAGTGGTAGATCATATTCCTCTTATCATTTTGGATTTGATCCATCTTCAAAGGCATTTCAAGTGCTGAACATCCGGATTTCTCGGATTGTTGGCCGACCTTATTTCGTAGCCTGCCATATTTACACACTAGGTGGCAAATCATGGCGAAGGATTCATTCTGCCTTGCCTTTTGTTTGTAATGACGACCTTCCTTGGAGCTTGTCATCGTTGGAAAGCTGTCTGTGCCTAAACGGTGCATTACATTGGATTCATCTTGATATGATAGTTATTGTGGTTTTTGATTTGAAAGATGAGAAGTTTCGTATTATTCCGCTCCCAAAAAGTGCCGTGTTCAGGTCTATATCACGGATACTTCTACTTCAAGTTGATGGAAATCTGGTTGTAGCATGTATTCCTGAAGATTTGTATAATTATCGCAACATGAAGATGGAGTTGTGGACATTGGAAGATTATCAAAGGGAGGTATGGATCAAGGAAGACATTATCATTCCATTTAGATGTGACTTGAACGATTCTCATGTTTATGCCATACCTACACTAGGTAAGATTTGGCTAAAACCGACGACATTATTCAATGATGAATCGTTGGGGGAGGATTATTTGGCAGAATTTTTTTATGATGCAAAGAACAAGAGTTTTTCGAGTATTAGAATTCCTGAATTATCTGAAGGGTTTTTGCCTTATGTTCAAAGTATCACTAATCATACTGAAAGCATCTTCTCTTTGAGCTCGCAACAAACAAAAGCCTTGAGCAGGAGTGGTAAAAAAAACCATTTACTCTGAAAGGGATCATATTGAGGGTACTAATTACTCCATCCCAGAACCAAATTAGGATCAGAAGAGTTCCAATCATGAAGGACACGGCACAATTGGTTATCGACAGTTAAGGATCACACAACTGCTTTTTATTCTTTTCTAGTTTTGGAAGTATATATTTTGCCTCAAATAATTCTTATATACATGAGGTAACCTTTGCTATATATTTAGAAGAAATTTGTTTATTAGTGCTTTGAATTAGATTAGTTTTTCATAGTCTAATGAACAGGATTCTATTATATTCTTAGCAAGTGATTACGAGCATCCAAGGTTTGCATTGCAGCCATAAGTCCAAAAGACATACAGTTGGAAAGATACTTCATCAAGCACCAAAAAAATTGCATACTAGCAATGCTCTTTTTTTTTTTTTTTTNATACATTATGTTTAATTAATATCATTAGATTAATAATAAATTTCATTTAATACTATGGATTTGACTATGGTTATGAAAAAAATAATATGGTCCACTGTCAATCCAATGATAATGAATGATTAGATCAACAAATTAGGTCGATAAATTATATTCAAATAACATCATTAGACTAACAATAAATTTCATTTAATTATACCATAGATTTGATTACGGTACCGCAAAAAAAAATTTCGATACCATATCTCCAAAATTTTCTGCTTCAAAGGGTATTTTTACAACTTTTGTAGGTCATTTTACAACAAAAAAATTTAACATTTTTATGATTTTTTTTACCACTATTGTGCATATTTTTAGTGGTAACTATTTTTACCACTTTTTTCCTTTATAAAAAAAAACTCCCAATAGCGACAAAAGTAACTACAAATATAATAAATTGCGGTATGGCACCAAAATTTTATGTNGGCCCCCCTCCCCTCCTATCTAATAAAAAAAAGAATATATCAGGGATCAAATTGGTAAAAATAAAATTTTAAAGAAACAAACTGAAAAAAATACATATTTAAGGACCAAAATTATATTTAGGCCAACAATTCTTTGTTTCCTAATACACCTCTAAGTCTAACACACACGCCTCTCTATACCTCCCAAAAGCAAAGGTAACCCTTGTAATAAAGGAGTAAATCGCCCATCTTCTCTCTCCTATCTTGTTTCTCACGTAGAAGAAAAAGTTATAAATTATTAGTTCAACAAATTAGGTCAATACATTATGTTTAATTAATATCATTAGATTAATAATAAATTTCATTTAATACTATGGATTTGACTATGGTTATGAAAAAAATAATATGGTCCACTGTCAATCCAATGATAATGAATGATTAGATCAACAAATTAGGTCGATAAATTATATTCAAATAACATCATTAGACTAACAATAAATTTCATTTAATTATACCATAGATTTGATTACGGTACCGCAAAAAAAAATTTCGATACCATATCTCCAAAATTTTCTGCTTCAAAGGGTATTTTTACAACTTTTGTAGGTCATTTTACAACAAAAAAATTTAACATTTTTATGATTTTTTTTACCACTATTGTGCATATTTTTAGTGGTAACTATTTTTACCACTTTTTTCCTTTATAAAAAAAAACTCCCAATAGCGACAAAAGTAACTACAAATATAATAAATTGCGGTATGGCACCAAAATTTTATGTTTTTTGGTACCAAATTCAAGTCCTAATATTGTTATCCAAGATCAATTTAATAATATGACAATGCTTTAGGTCCTCCAATTAAGAGTCAATTATATGCTCTCTTTGTCCACTGTCTTGTTGGAATTTTGTTTCCTAATATACTTATAACACACTTCTGTATCCGTCCATAAAGGTAATCCCAAGTGCAGCAGGAAAGAAAAATTAGGTAACCCCAATTCAAACCGCCTCTTTTCTCTCCACACTATATAACTATGTATACAGCAAATTGTTCTCTGAGAATAAGAAGAATAGAAAATCATGGATGTTCTCTTCACGAGAGCACTTAAGAAAAAAGCGTAGACTTAACACTAACCATGATCATGGTTTATGGATCCAGCTCCCGGAAGATGTCATCTTCTACGATATACTTTCAAGGCTTCCGGTGAAATCTCTCTTGGTGCTGCCTTTTGACTCGTAACAACCCTTCTTTCATCGACCTCCATCTATCGCGCTCCCAATCTCGGCTCACTAGCACAACCACCAACCTCCTCATGTCTGTTTATAACAAGAAGTTGAAGAGCCAATGTTTAGTTTTAGCATGCCCAGAGGGTGGTAGGTGGAGTAATATTCAACTCTTATCGATGCAGACCGTAAAATATGAGCGTTTCTACCTCTCTCAGAACATTAATGGTTTGGTTTGTTGGCTCAAAAATAGTTTCGATGATAATAATAAATATGCATATATTTGTAATCCTAGTACTCGTGAACTCACGAAACTTCCCCTAATTCATCGAACTACACGTAGTAGTGGTAGATCATATTCCTCTTATCATTTTGGATTTGATCCATCTTCAAAGGCATTTCAAGTGCTGAACATCCGGATTTCTCGGATTGTTGGCCGACCTTATTTCGTAGCCTGCCATATTTACACACTAGGTGGCAAATCATGGCGAAGGATTCATTCTGCCTTGCCTTTTGTTTGTAATGACGACCTTCCTTGGAGCTTGTCATCGTTGAAAAGCTGTCTGTGCCTAAACGGTGCATTACATTGGATTCATCTAGATATGATAGTTATTGTGGTTTTTGATTTGAAAGATGAGAAGTTTCGTATTATTCCGCTCCCAAAAAGTGTCGTGTTCAGGTCTATATCACCGATACTTCTACTTCAAGTTGATGGAAATCTGGTTGTAGCATGTATTCCTGAAGATTTGTATAATTATCGCAACATGAAGATGGAGTTGTGGACATTGGAAGATTATCAAAGGGAGGTATGGATCAAGGAAGACATTATCATTCCATTTAGATGTGACTTGAACGATTCTCATGTTTATGCCATACCTACACTAGGTAAGATTTGGCTAAAACCGACGACATTATTCAATGATGAATCGTCGGGGGAGGATTATTTAGCAGAATTTTTTTATGATGCAAAGAACAAGAGTTTTTCGAGTATTAGAATTCCTGAATTATCTGAAGGGTTTTTGCCTTATGTTCAAAGTATCACTAATCATACTGAAAGCATCTTCTCTTTGAGCTCGCAACAAACAAAAGCCTTGAGCAGGAGTGGTAAAAAAAACCATTTACTCTGAAAGGGATCATATTGAGGGTACTAATTACTCCATCCCAGAACCAAATTAGGATCAGAAGAGTTCCAATCATGAAGGACACGGCACAATTGGTTATCGACAGTTAAGGATCACACAACTGCTTTTTATTCTTTTCTAGTTTTGGAAGTATATATTTTGCCTCAAATAATTCTTATATACATGAGGTAACCTTTACTATATATTTAGAAGAAATTTGTTTATTAGTGCTTTGAATTAGATTAGTTTTTCATAGTCTAATGAACAGGATTCTATTATATTCTTAGCAAGTGATTACGAGCATCCAAGGTTTGCATTGCAGCCATAAGTCCAAAAGACATACAGTTGGAAAGATACTTCATCAAGCACCAAAAAAATTGCATACTAGCAATGCTCTTTTTTTTTTTTTTTTAAATAAAAAGAATGAACATATTAAGGCTATAACTAATGTTAGTATTTATACGACAAGTACTACTATCTAGTGTCATATGTAAGTGAGGTTGGTGACAGATCAATGACGCCTTTGAGAGCCTGAGGGCAATGCCAAACTATAACTCTCAACAATCTATTTGCATCAAGGTGAAGAGCAGAGTACACAGATCACTCCTTTTGGCCACACTTACTCGATATTCCATTGCAGCGACAGGGAGGATCTTGGCAATGCTATGTGGCTTAAAAAAAGTGGAAAGCAGTGTTAATTGAGTCGAATTTTGTGAGTTTGAGGTCGAACTTATTTTTTTTTAAATGAACCTAAAAAATTGTTTAAACTTGTTTAGAAAATAAATCTAGACAGAGCCCAAATAATTCAATTATTTTACATATAAATGAGCTGAACCTTTTAGGCTTGTTTAAAAAAACGGGTCTACAAAATTATTTAAGTTCAGTTTATTTAGAACAAATCGTACTCAAACCGAGTCCTATTTGAACTAAGCTTAAGTAGCTTGTCTTAGTTAATTAACACCCCTAAAAACGAAAGGCGAAATCTTAAAAAAATAAACTTTTACATACATAAATATTTTTCTTTGAGATGGGGAACCTTACACCTTAGGCCTTATGTCGACTAGGAATACAATGGTAATGATCAAGATTCAAGAAGAACGATGCAAAAGTTTTAGCACAATCTGGATTCCCCTACTAATTTTGCATGTATTAACTGACCCTTTAACCATACACTCATTCATGATTTTTGCAAGTTTTTAGGGCAGCGATGCAGAGTTCTTCGGGTTCTCTAAGGATATGTTTAAATCCGACTTGCATCTTACAAACATTACCAAAATGAATGCACCTAAAGTTAAAACAACACTTATGANTCTCTAAGGATATGTTTAAATCCGACTTGCATCTTACAAACATTACCAAAATGAATGCAGTAAAAGTTAAAACAACACTTATCAGGGTCTAGTTGTGTGTTTGATTAATGAAACAGACCAATGGACCAACAATTAGAATTACTATTAACATATGGAATAGTCATTTCTATTACCCTTTAAATTGTAGTTTTTTCCATTAAAATACTCTCAACAATTTTTTTAGTCAAATATTGACTTAAATTTGAGTAAAATTTTGAATATAATACTATAAATGATCTTATGATGTCACTCATGCTTAAGGAAGTACTTGGGAAAAAAGAACGAGGAAGACTATAGATGNAATATTGACTTAAATTTGAGTAAAATTTTGAATATAATACTATAAATGATCTTATGGTGGTACTCATGCTTAAAGAAGTACTCGGGAAAAAAGAACGAGGAAGACTATAGAAGACCAACAAGTTCAGGTCAACATCAGGGTCTAGTTGTGTGTTTGACCAGTGGACCAACTACCAGAATCACCATCAACATATGAAATGATTATTTTTTATTGTCCTTTAAATTTGGTTTTCTCCATTAAAATACTTTGTATCCGAACTCTACAATTAGGCGTGCCTGAGCGAGAATAGTATTAAGATGGGTGACCCCTGAGAAGTTCTCGTGTTGCACCATTTTTTTAAAAAAAATAAATAAATAAACAAGTTTTTAACTCAAATATTAACTCGAATTTGAGTCTAATACTATATATGACCTTATGATGTCACTCATTCTTAAGGAAGTATTTGGAAAAAAAGAACGAGGAAGGCTAATCTTAGAGGATTTGTAGGGGCAATTTAATATCTGCTTGATATTGACCCGACTTTAATTTAAACTTTTTTTCACTATTGCCCTCGTAAGACCCCTCAAATGAGTATCATATGGGTAGGTTTATTATTGGTTTAAACAATAGTTAAAAATTGGATCAATTAAATGTAAATTGAATACATCAAGGATCAAATTGATAAAAATAAAAATTCAAGCAAATAATTCTTTGTTTCCTAATACACCTCTAAATATAACACACACGCCTCTCTAGACCTTCCCAAAGCCAAAGGTAACCCTAGTAAAGGAGTAAATCGCCCCCTCTTCTCTCTTCTATCCTGTTCGTCGCGTATAAGAAAAGAAGTAGGTAGCCCAATGGATGATCTCTCCATGGCCATGAAAAAACTCAATCACGATCATGGTTTATCGATCTGCCTCTCAGATGATTTTGTCTTTGATCATATACTCACAAGGCTTCCTGTGAAATCTCTCTTCCAATTCCGGTGTGTTTCCAAATCATGGTGTTACTTTTTAACTCACATTAACCCTTCTTTCATTGATCTCCACCTTTCACGTTCCCATTCCCGGCTCGCTGGCAACGCCACCCTCCTATTCCCCGCCCACGACAAGAAGTCGAGGCACGATTATTTATTCTTAGCAGGTCTTGATGGAGGTGGAAAGGTCACTCAACTCTCTTCGCTGCCTGTTGAAGATGAGTATTTCGGCCTCTCTGAAAACATCAATGGCTTGGTCTGCTGGCACCATCTTAGTGACACTGAGAAAATCAAGTGTGCGTATATTTGCAATCCTAGCACTCATGAACTGGTGAAATTACCCATAATTCCTCTAAATGACATGAGATATGAGAAGTATTTTTCTTTTACTTTTGATTTTGGGTTTGATCCATCATCAGAGGAATTCAAAGTTATCCGACTACCTTATTCTAGTCACGGAGCCTTCCACATTTTCACTCTAGGTGGTAATTCATGGCGACAAATTGAACCTGCACTGCCTTCTTCTTTTAGGGAACATAAGTGGGAAAACTGTGTGCTTCAATGGTGCATTGCATTGGGTGTTGAAGGAAGAGAAGATTATTCTGGTTTTCGATTTGAAAGAGGAGAAGTTTCGTGTTCTTCAGCTCCCGTATTTCACATGACTGCCATTAACACTATAGTCGTTGTTATTCACCACAACAATCACTATTTTTTAGCACCACCATTGTTGTCAATCACCTCTCATCCTACAATAATTGGTGCTTAAATTCATTTTTCTTTTCTATGTAATTTTATTAAATAGTCATTATATAAGATTTTTGGTGTAAATATAAATATGTTTATTATTGTCTATTTTTTTTATTATTTTATATCTTTAAGTACAGACAATAACTAGTTATATTAAATAGTTCTTATAGGCGGCTCGCGATCGTTATTATTATAAAAAATATAACGGACTATGAAATTGATAAAATTAATATTTTGAGACCAACCAGCCAAAAGTAGGAAATTTTTTTTTANTGAAATTGATAAAATTAATATTTTGAGACCAACCCGCCAAAAGTAGGAAATTTTTTTTTACAAAACGACGTGGATTTGTAAGCCGCCAAAAGTCGTTTTGTTTTCCCCCAAATCAGTATGTCTCTCTCTCTCTCTCTCTCTCTCTCCCCGAAGACCCCCTGGCTCGCCAAACCGTTGCTGGGAACTAGATTTGCCTCTAATCTGCAGTAACCTTCAAAGGTATTTACCTAATTGTAATAATTCCATGTCTCGCCGGAACTGAAGAATCGTTTCCGAATCTGTTCATCCGCAGGTTTATTCATCTGCCATCGATTTGATACATATATATAGTCCTGAGGGAGAGAACTCTCAGTCTTTGTTTGATATATATTGAGTTTTGTTCTAACTGTATACATTTGTGCCCGTGTTTGATTTTTTTGGATCTGTTAATTGGAGCTGATTTATGCTTTCTTGTCTTTAGGCTTGGGTGGATCTGAATTCCGTTTATTCATATGAAAACCCTAAAGAAGCACAGTAGAGTTAACATTGACCATGATCATCATGGTTCATGTATCCGACTCCCTGAGGATATCATGTTTCACCATATACTTACAAGGCTTCCGGTGAAATCTCTCGTGGGATTCCGGTGTGTAAGTAAATCCTGGTGTAGCTTTTTAACCAGCAACAACCCTTCTTTCATCGACCTCCACCTATCACGTTCCCAATCTTGCCTGGCCACCACCACCAACCTCTTAATGTCCGGTTATGACAAGCAGTTGCAGCGCGAATGTTTATTGCTAACAGACCTTGAGGGAGGTGGGAGGGCTACTCGACTCTTAATGGCGGCAGACACCATAGAAAATGAGCGTCTACTCCTCTCTGAAAACATTAATGGCTTGGTCTGTTGGCATAACACCAGATGTGCATATATTTGTAATCCTAGCACTCGCGAATTGGTGAAACTTCCCATAATTCCTCAAACTACGCGTAGAATTGACTCTTATAATTTTGGATTTGATCCATCTTCGAAGGAATTTAAAGTGCTAAACTTCCGAATTTCTTGGACTGGTAACGGAGCTACTTGTGAATCCTTTCATATTTTCACTCTAGGTAGTGATTCATGGCGACGAATTCATCCTGCCTTGCCTTTTGTTTTTAGTGACAACCTTCCTTGGGGTTTGTTTTCGTTGATAAACGCTGTGTGTCTAAATGGTGCATTGCATTGGATCCATGAGGATATGGCAACTATATTGGTTTTTGATCTGAAAGATGAGAAGTTTCGTGTTATTCCACTTAGTAGTGATGTGCTATTGCATGCATCCCAGAATATTCTACTTCAAGTTGATGGAAATTTAGTTGTGGTATGCATCCGCCATGGTCTGAATTATTACGAGAATATGGAGATGGAGATGGAGATAGAGATATTGACATTGGAGGACTATCAAAATGAGATTTGGATCAAGGAGAGCATTATCAATCCATTTAGATGGGACCGGGATAATTTTGATGATTATGTCATACCTGCAGTAGGCAAGATCTTGCTAAAAAGGAAAACATTATTCAAAAATGTATCGTCGGGCGAGGTCCATTTAGAGGACTTTTGTTATGATATTAAGCACAAAAGTTTAACGAGTATCAGAATTCCTGAATTATCTGAAGGTTGGTTGTCTCCCGTTCATGGTTTCACTAATCATATTGAAAGCATCTTCTCTTTGAGCTCGCAACAAACAAAAGCTTTGAGCAAGAGTGGTAATTAAAAGTTTTACTCCAGAAGGGAACATGTTTAAGGATAGCAATTGCTTCATCAGAGAACCAAATTATGGTCAGAGATGTTCCTTCCATCACGAAGGACATGACAAATTGGGTTATCAGCAGTTAAGGAGCGCTAGACCTCTTTTTCTTCTTTTCTAGTTTTTCGTATTTGGATGTCTAAATTTTGCTTGAAATAATTCTTACATGTTCTGAGGTAAACTTCACTGTTTAGAGAAATCATATGGCAGCACTGTGAAAACATAAAATAAATTTGTTAACTTATGCTTTGAATTAAATTAGTTTGTCATGATCTAATTATCTTATGACAGAATTCTATCACTTTTTTCTAGCATTCAATGTGCTAATACTGATCTGATGCAGGATATTTTAGATCCTGATGCCATGTTTTCTTTGGCTTTAGTTCCTCATCTGGTCAGTATGTTTCGTCTGCTTATCACTTTTCAGATTGAACTTTAGATGCGTAATGAATGCTAATGGAAAGTTAGATGTAGAGTCACAAAATAGCTGTGAATACTGCTCTTGCGTGCTTGTAACGATTAAACTGTGCACTTTCTTTATTACCTTCGGGTCATTCTGTTCAGTTGTTCTTTTCATATTTGTGGTTAACATTGATTGTGAGCATCACTGGTATGCGATGTAGTCATAAATTCAAAGTGCACATGGTTGCAATGATTCTCCATTATTGAAAAAAGAAAAAAGAAAAAATTGCATATTGACGATTCTGTTTTTCAAGAGAATGAAGAATTTAATGTATTTAACTGATACTGCTGCTTCTACCACACATACTGCTGCTTCTACTACAAATACTGCCGNCTGTTTTTCAAGAGAATGAAGAATTTAATGTATTTAACTGATACTGCTGCTTCTACTACACATACTGCTGCTTCTACTACAAATACTGCTGCTTCTACTATACATATTGCTGCTTCCAATGTTATAAGTATAAGGAGGAAAGGAGTTTCAAACCCTCTACATTTGAGATTGTTTCATGAACACATATAGTAAGATGTGGTACAAACACCATGTCATTTACACCCAGGGAGAGGGAAGGATCTATCCACCGCCATAAACATGTGCATGTAACTATATATACAATTTGTGATATGGGCCATGCCCCCCCCCCCCCCCCTTTT